GGGGGGGAAGTTTATAATTTGATTTTCTTCTCTCCTTTTATGTAGAAAATGCAAGGATAATATCTACATACTCACTTTTTTAAACTGTGCCATACTAGAACATATAATGAGTACTTTATCTCTGTTGTACTACCGAACTGGGAAGGAGTAACTTCCCTCAGTCTATTTAATAATCCACGTTATTAAATATATTACATTCCATCATAAAACCAAAGGAATATTTTACCCTTTTTGGTCATATTAAAAGCTTTAGAGAGGAGCTCATTATCCTGACATTTCAAATATCGTTTCTAGTACTGTCATTAGATGCTTTTATGTTTTGTTTGGTTGGTTGGTTGGGTTTTTTTGAGAAGATAACAAATATGATTTAGATGAAAATTTTCTCCTCCCTGGGTAATCTACATCACTTCAGAAAAAGCGTATATGAAGAAACACGGGAATGACCTTTGCTTTTCTCCTCTTCAATATGAAGCAACCCTCACTGAACTCTTCTAATCAGTTATTCACCTATTGTTCACCTGTCAGACATATTCACAGCTTTTTCCTAGGCTGTAGCAACTGTGCTGCCTGGTGCAGAGGTGCAGAGGAATGCCTAGGTATAATGGGGAGTCTCCTTAGATTTGGTGTTGTCCTAAATGTGCTTCCTTTCTCTTCCTGAAAAGAGTGAATGAGTGAGCTGAATGTGATACTGCAGCTTAAAAAATATGTTCTGCTTGCTACACTTCTTTTTTAAACAGAACTGAGAGGTCACAAAACAGTAAACAAATTCAAGCCTTTTCTGCTGTAATTAGCCTAAAGAAGGATTCTAGAATAGTTGTTGGGGTTTTGGGGTGGTTTTTTTGTGTTTTTTTTTTTTTTTTTTTTAAATCATGACTTACTTTTCTTCACTTACTAATGCCTCACTAGCAGAAGAACACCAAATTTCAATACCCCTCCTTTTCTGCTCCCCAACCTCTGCCCATACTTACCAGTGACAGTGCTCAAGAAAGAGCACTTCAAATTTTCTTCATTTAGCATGTATGTAGACTAAGGAACGAATCACAAGATGGGATCAAGGTAGATTTAATTCGTTGAGATAGAGGCAAATCGCTCAGCCTCTAGTGTACTGAGAAGATTTGTTGTTTATCCCCATAATTTTTACTCTCAGCTTTTGGTTTCCATTTGCACATTTTCAGCTGCCTTGCTTATATTCTGGTTTTTCATCCTCTCAGTAATTAATGTGATATTTTTTCATATGTGTTATAATAGGGTTCCTGTAGGATATTGTGTCTGTATTGATAAGCTCAGGGTAAGTAATTAGAATACACAGTTACTAACTTAATCCTGACTTTAAAAACATAATTCCTGAAATACTAATAGAATCTCAAGCTTCAAGTTTTAGATCAATATTAAGCAAAAAAATTACTGTCGGACATCATATTGTAAGAATAGATATGAATAAACTTCTGGAAAGGTATTCATATTTTTCAAACTATTAGTTTTGAAATTTGTATCAGTATTGGACAGGTTTTCATACTCCTTGTGCTTTCCACTCACTGGCAGCTGGTGCTTCATTCCCTATTCAAAACATTCTCTATCACTTTCAAAGGAAAAATGGAATTACAATCTGTCTTTTGTGAATGAGACAGGTTGTACAGACCCCTGCTTTGCACTGTTGTCATCTGCCATGCTGTAAACTCAGTAGAGTTCATCTGGACTGTCTGGGGGAAAGAAACAAATTGTTCCCTTGTACTGAAAACCTGGGCACTTTTGACAGACCAGCACACCCCCACAGTGGAGGAGAGCTCGGAGTAGAAGGGCAATGAGCTTCTGGAATAATGTACTATAAAGAAAGCTGCCTTTATCTCCACACCAGGGAGACTGGAGGGTTACCATGGTTTTAGATAAGAGTGCTGCACCAGTGAATCATCAGGTTGCCTCAGACAGCTAACAAAGAATGA